CATAATGGTAAATAAAGTAAGGGTATAATGGTAAATTTGACGAAAAAAAGTAACACTGTCAGTAGTAAAGTGACGGTGTTAACATCAAAGGGAGAGTGTGCAGGCAGATATATAATAGGAGGGGGTTTGACGCAATTTTTAAATTACGAGGGAAAAACGCGCAGATTTAGTATACTAAGGGGGGTTTGGTGCAATTTACCCGATAAACATCGCTTTTAAATTATAACTGCGGTGTGTTTCACGCGCCGCCCCGTATATGGCGGGCAGCCAAGCTCCTTCCCCATTAAAATTGACTTTCTCTCTCACACACACCACGCACACTTCTTTCAGAGAGAGAGAGAGAGTAGAGAGAGAAAATAAAGTCTGAATCTTTATTTAACAAAATGCAAGTGACGGTCCAAGTTTCAGCAAATACCCACAACACACACACTGTAAACACGTTGCCATACAAAGAGAGCCGCGCGCGCGCGCACACACACACAGTGTACACAGAGAGTGAACTGTAAATTCAGAGTATACTAATAACGGGGCTTCCCAATTATTGGGCGAGATAATATTATTATTTTTTCTTTCAGATCTACAGTGCAAAGTTGTTCTAGGCCTATCGGGGTTGAACCCGACAGAGTTCTTGGATTTTATCAGAAGGTCAGATTTTTTCGGGCCTTTTCGGGCTCTTTGATTGGTTTCCTCAAATGGGCTTGTCTGTTTTTCATCTGATTTTTTTAATTCAGTACACATACATTTGCGTGTTCGATATACCTTGATAGCCTTGAGAATTTATGGACAGTTGATGATGGTTTGATGAGTGTTCTGTTTTTGCTTCTTTTTCAAGCTCTTATGCAGAATTCTCAAAGTTTTATCCCATAAAATCGACAGCTCGAAGCACATAAACGAAAACGAATAAAGAATGGGCTGGGAGATGGAGCCCGAGCAGCCGGATGAAATGGACTTAGTCCTCTCCTCCATGTGGCCCGAGGACATAAACGAAGCGGGCCGCCAGTTCAATGTTGAAAAGCCCGAGTCAGCCGATCGAGACATGCTCCAGGAAGTCACCATAAAAAGCGAACCCAACATACTCGATTTTGACCGTCTAATGGAGCTCACAAACTACAGTGACAAGGGCAACTGTCAATTAGCCAACTTGATAAAAAACTGGGAATTCAAACAAGAAAACGCAGTTCGACTCCTCTGGGAAGAGCTCGACACACTCAGAAAACAGCAGCAAGAAGTCGAGCTCAAGAAGCTCGAGATTCTTGAAGAGCACAGGTTCGAGGGTGATGGGTTTTTTGGAGGGGATAAACAGCCCGTCTCGATTCTTGACGAGAATATGAAGTATTTGTATCAGGATTTGCCGAGGAGGAGAAATGAAGTGGTTTTGAAGGATGAGAAGAAGGTGGAGATTGATGATGGCGAGTATGATAGTGTGGTGTATTGGAAGCAGAGGGCTGTGCAGTTGGAGAAACTTCTAGAAGCTAGCTTGGGGAGGGAACAAGTTCTGCTCGAAAAGCTTCAGGAGAGTATTGAGAATTTGGAGAGGCAGTCTTCGCCTGTTGAGGAGCTCTCGCAGGTTTTGAAAAG